GTTATCTTCCATTTAATTCCACTTAATTAATTTTGGTATCCATGACAGATACGTATTTCGACTACAATGTGCAGTCTTCATCAGTGTCATTCCCACTAAAGAACTTATCAAAATCTAACCCCCTTAAGTACTCATCCCCTAGGTATAAAAGTCAAGATCACAGGTATATAAATGAAACTACAATGTGTTGAATCGGAACCTACCAAACTAATTAAAACCAAAGATTTAAGTAAGCTAAAGGAGAAAAATCTATTCAACTCTCTAATAAGGAAAATCCCAAAGGCTTGGTAGCCATCATAATGAAGTAATGAAATTGGGTTGTTAGCGGAATGCTTTAATAAAACAGCAAAAAAGGTTATCTTCCATTTAATTCCACTTAATTAATTTTGGTATCCATGACAGATACGTATTTCGACTACAATGTGCAGTCTTCATCAGTGTCTTCATCAGACTTATATTTATGTTTAATCTCTTCTGAAAGATGATATTTTTTAAAAATCTCGGAAATCCAGGGTTGTAGCCCAAAAGGATCTAGGCACTTTAGAGCAAAATCAAATAAGACATTTGTTCAGAATGCCAAAAGAAGCCTCTTGGCCAAGTTTAGCTGACGTATTGACGTTCTAAGATTACGAATAGCTTATGTGGTTGTGGAGTAATCTCTTCTGAAAGATGATATTTTAAAAAAATCTCGAAAATCCAGGGTTGTAGCCGAGAGGGATCTAGACACTTTAGAGCAAAATCAAAAAAGGCGTTTGCTCAGAATGCCGAAATAAGCGTTTTGGTCAAGTTTGGCTCAAATAGGTGATATCGACCACAGGTGGTGTACCCACTTGAGCTGGAATGACCCGTATGTATTTTCTCATATGAATTTTTCAAAAAATTCCAACTCTAAAACTGTTTATTGTATGAAAATTCTGTTTGAGAAGATGTTGTCGAAAATTGATAGGACTTTAAGGTAAACAAATATATTTTTTTATGGAGAAAAATAAAAATTGAAATAATGCTAGTTTACTCAAACAGGTAGAAACCTAATTTTATTTTAATGTATACATATTCAACAATGACCCTTGGAGTTAGTAGCAAATATTTATTTTTTTTTTTCAAAAATTTAACAAAATTTTTTCAGTGTATATTTTTTTTAAAGTCCAATCCATTCTCTACTCTACAATAAACGGTTTTAGGAACTAGCAGTGATGCAGAGAAGGACATGAGCTTGTTAGCAACGACAATTAGACAGAAGAGAGAAGAAACAGCGAAAGTTGGCGAGATCGTTTTTAATTATTATATATTATATATATATATATATATATATTATTTTTTAATTAAAATTGCTCATATTTATACAAACATTGCTTATACTAAATACGCACCAGAATTTAAAAAAAAGGTGTGAATGCATTACATGTATCATGTATCCAATTGATATATCGATGTGTTCATGTGGGGCTTTTGTAAATGAAGGCGACCTCAGAATGTACGTGTATGAACAGGTATTCTTGAAATGGGTCGTTGGATATACAGTAGAGCTATCACCTTCCATCGCCAGGACTGAAACTGTTTGCATCTATGTATAAAAATAGGTGCAAACAATTTTTATCCTTAAAAGCACTACCGGCCAATGGGAAATGAAATGTAGACACACACAGAAACACACACATTTTAAAAATTTGGTGCAAACAGGGTTGCTTCGACTCACTTCGCTATACAATATATTTTTAGAATTATGGAATTATTGGATGCTATAATGATATGTTGTAAGCTATAATAAAATGTTGAAAAAACTTGTCAATTACGCTTGCAGAATGTCAAAATCAGCGATTTTATGATTCGTAAGCGCGAAGCGAGTCGAAGCAACCCTGGGTGCAGATAAGAAAGAAAGAATCCAAATTTTATAGGTTAGGTTATCGCTATTAGCGAGACTTTTAGCCAGAGGCTGGTTCATCTCTTCCAAATTTTATAAAAAAAATGATGATCCACCAATTTGAACTAAATTTGCCAGCAACACTGACTGGGTGTATCCTATGGCTTACCTTCCCTACTAACATATTTCCTAAATTCCCGAGACATGTATGAGGGGTCGTAGAGTTCTCTGCACCTCTCTTAAGAAAATGTTGAACTAACATACATTTCCTATCCCTACCAGTTGTAAGGACGTGGTCAGAACAATCCTTAACTGTTGGAGCGGGATATGTCTTTGTCTGGGAGATAGTAATTATTTCCACAACTACGAACCTGCTGTGCCTAACGTCTTACATCACAGACAGTTTGATTGCTCGGACCCAAACGGACGTTATCTACACAGATCTTACGGCAGCCTTCGATAAGCTGAACCAGCTAGGGATCGGTGGAAATCTTTTGAGATGGTTTCGTTCATACCTCACGGAGCGCCAATTGACAGTAACTTTGGGTACTTGTCGCTCAGCAAGCTTCTGCGCAAAGTCCGGTATACCTCAGGGCAGCCATCTGGGACCATTGGTATTTCTCCTCTACTTCGACGACGTTCACCATGTTATCACAGAGCCACGATTATCGTTTGCAGACGATCTGAAAGTTTTTCTGCGCATCCGCTCACTCGCCGACTGCCGTTCTCTCCAAAATCAGATTGACATCTTTGCTGACTGGTGTAGTCTAAACCGACTGGTGGTCAACCCAGCTAAGTGTACAGTTATTACTTTCTCACGCAAGAAACAACTGATTATTTTCAACTACAAACTACTAGGCACGACTATCGAACGGGTGCACTGCGTGAAAGACTTAGGCGTTTTTCTAGACTCAAAGCTGACATACTCACACCATATATCGTATGTCGTCGACAAAGCGTCCAGAACGCTTGGCTTTGTCTTCAAGATTACTAAGAACTTCACGGACATTTACTGCTTGAAATCGCTCTATTGCTCTCTCGTACGATCTACGTTGGAATACTGCTCTGCTGTTTGGAGCCCAAACTACAATAATGGGGCCGAGCGAATTGGATCTGTTCAACGACGTTTTCTTCGCTTCGCGCTCCGTAAGCTGCCTTGGAGATACCCACTTCGTCTTCCAAGCTACGAGAATCGCTGCCAATTGATCAATATCGAGCCCTTACGTATCCGAAGAGATGTTTTCAGAGCCTTAACCGTCGCCGATACTCTGCAAGGAAGAATTGACTGCGAAGCAATTCTGCAACAAGTGAACATTAATGTTCAACCTCGATCACTACGCAACAGTCTTATGCTGAGACTTCCACTTCTTCGAACTAATTATAGCATAGGGAGCGCTATTTACGGCTTGCAGCTAGTGTTCAACCGAGTAGCGTCGATGTTCGATTTCCACTTGACACCGAATATGCTTCGCCGAAGATTCTCTGCCTTTTTTGCTGACCGAAGGCGCTTGATACCCAACAGCTAAGTGTAAAATTTAAGACTTATAAATTTTTAGTAACTTGACAATGCTTTCCAAGTTATTTTCGTTTGTAACTGTAGTAACTGTAGTATATGTATGTCGTCTGTATAATCTGTACTTTTTTACAACACATCATTGGGACTATTTCTAGTCTGTTGATGCAACCATAACAAATAAAATAAAAATAAAATAAAATAAAAGTAATAGATATCCATCTAGCTCTTCATAGTTTTGAATTCGTACCACCTACGATATTGTGAAACTTGTTCGATGCTAATGCTAATACTAATAAACGGTTTTAGCGTTAGAACAGAAGAAGAATCTCCTTCCAGCAAACAAGATCATATAATTTCTTTCACATACTCCCTTTTCAAACATTAGTCTGGAGTCAAAATGGTCTCGTGATCTGTGGGAAAATCATAATCTTTCATACTTAAGACATGTTTCATCAAAATCGGAAGGGCTCTTGCCAAATCGTTTGCTCATTTGGCAGAGAATTGCTCTATTCACGATTGTTGCATATTGAAACCTTGCACAAAGTTGTAGATAGTGTAATTGTATGCAACTTTGCTGATGAAACTATAGTTTAACCTACGTACATTTTTTTACAGCTAATTGTCTTTACTTAACTCTTTTATATCAAATCCTACATGAGAGTTGTCTTCTACAACTTTTTACAACTCATTAAGCAGCGCATTTTCTGTCGAATAAATCATTTTGTAAAAAATACGATTAATTTTCTCCAAACAAAAATGCAGTTTTCAACTATTGATATCTTCTTTTGGAGGAAGAACGGAGAAATACTTTTTCTCCTTGACACGGAATCAATGAATGTTTAATGACAACGAGTTGCTCATGTAATTATTCTGCGTTCAAAAGAGAACCTTCACAAAATTCCACATTGAACTAGGTTAAGGTGCGATTTACTTTGATGGATTTTCGAAAAATTAAAACCTAGTTTTCTTCGACGCATAATTTCAGATTACAAAAAGCTCGTAAAATAACAAAAGGAATGTGTAAAATAGCAAAAGGAATGTTATGACGAGACCTTTCCTGAATTGATGGGTCGAGAAAAACTGGGTTTGAATTTTGCGAAAATGCATCAAAGTAAATTGCTGTTCACAGAAATGATCCGTTTCCGAATACAAAGTTCGATGTGTGCTTAGAAAGTAGTTCCCCATAAGCGCTAAATACATCCTTGTTTATGCCTCCGACGCGATTAGCGCATCAGTGTTTTGATAGCTATTTGGCGTCGATTCGTGCTTGATTACGCGGGGGCAACAATCAACCTTTTGACCCTATTGCATGTTTAGAAAAACAAAGCTCTGCCACTCGTATCACCGTGCTGTCTTCTAGGACGCCACCACCGACCGGTTGCAAATGTCGTGGAAAAGCGCGCGCGGGGGCGGGAGGGGCACCGATTCGCCGGATAGCAACTCATTTACGGCAAATCACTGATTGGAAAGCGAACCGATCTAGACGGACGGTTACACGAAAGAGTACGACCAAATCAATCAAAATTAACGTCTTTCCGATGTCCACCACATCACGATTTCGCATCACAATCTCGTTCGTTTTAATAACCGTGTGCTGGATGGAGGACCGATCGACCGACCAACCGACTAAGTGAGTGCTTTCCGCTGTCGTTCAATGTGTGGCAGATATTGACGAAGGCAATCGTAGTGGGGATCCTGCAGAAACGGCAACATCAGCAACAGCAACAGCATCATGACTCTGTTATCTGTAAAGGAAAGGAAAAAAAAATGTACAAAACGAGCATTAGTTGATAAGAACTTTTAAACATATCAAGGCATGTTGGGGGAAAATAGATTGCGTTCTTTTTTTGTGAGTTTAAAAGTTAAATATACGTTAGGAGGCGCACTCAAGCGTGAAGAGTAAACAAATATAGAAAGCCATTTACAACTTAAAGCAAAATTGGAAGTTTCTTATCGCCATTCAGAATGACGATTGTATATTATTTTGATTGAATTAAAGAGGAGGATTGTTTGAGATTTTGGTAGGCTACTTTTGCAGAGGCGTCGCGTGCCTCATTTGTTTACCTGTGCACCAAACTTTGTTCGTTATAGCTTACCACCACATATTAGTTTTTGTATATTTTTCAATGCTTCATGAATTCGAGGGACATATTCTCAATTACTATATTAATCACTACCTAACGTAACATTTGAAGGGCCTATAATCTTTCGACTGAAGTGTAATGAAAAATATCCGTCAAACACTTCCGAAAACATTTTTTGATAAAAAAAAAACAGTGTCAAAATCTAGAGAAAATTCATGACGTCCTATGGGGAGCAAACTTGAATTAATCAACTCTTTATTCATCAGAACAACACTATCAGAATGAACCAGGGGATGCTCATAAGTTTTCACAGGCGCACCGGCGCAACCATCGGTAATTGAGAGATTTATAACTGACAAGAGAGTAAGAGCGAGCTTTTGCGCTCTCTTTCTCCATTACTCTCCTTGCCTACAATCAGAAATCCAAGTGCACAGCGAGAAATGCACACTTTGGGCACCCGTACATCACAAATATTCTTCTCATTTAAACTCACACATTCAAACTGGTCTGCAAGTATGATAACGTCCAAAGCGTACCAGACTGCTGTTTCCGTGTTGCTCCCGTTTGACGCGTGACTGCTGAAAGTTTCAATTACAACTAGTGGTGCAAACCGCCATGTATTGTGGAAAATTTGTGGTATGTTTCAAGAAGTGATAGAAGGTCTGCTTGGCTTACATCAGGCATTGACCATTCACAAACTTGCCACCCGCCACCCAAAAAAGCTTGCTTTTAGGTGCACTATTTAACTAGTTTTGTCATGGTAGTGTTATCGATATGCTTAAAAATCAATGCATTAGGGATTAGGCAGACCATCCGAACCTTTGTGAAGCAAACCAAGGTCGAAGATTTAATTGAGCCACACTATAAATAGTGTATTCATGGTCACTTGTAATCTGGAGTAAAGTAGTACAGCTATAATGTGACCATAAAATCTATAAAAAATCTAAATGCATTATTTTAATTATTCACACCTGTGTCGTGCACAGGTTGCACATGTGGACGCGACGCCACTGACTTTTGAGTTTGGCAATTCTATAATGAACAGTTTTGAGCTTGAATTCGTGGATGATCAATGAGGAGCTGGCGATGACGTCTGGCAACGATTAAAAAATAGTTCCCCTCATTTTCCAACGTAATAGATGAAGATTCTTTCCTAACACTGATCTGCTGGCTAGCTAGGTGATATGAATCGAAATCAACCATCGATCACATTTTTAACCGCTTCCAAAGCAGCATAAAAACTTCTTCGCATCGTCTTTCTACTCCACACCGAAGGAAGAGGCTCCATAAAAAATGCAAAATTGTGAGTGGATTCACTGAAATCCAAACCGCTGGAACGTGTATAAACTTCGCGCCTTCGTTGCTCAATTCATTTCAAACAACACGGGCAAGTTTTGAAAACTTGATAGGTTTGTTGTTGTTTTTGCGTCTTTCGAAGCGTTTGCACTAACTATACGTACTCTGCGGTTATCTTCCATGCTGCCGTTGATGTTTACAAAAATATCACTTTCGGTTGGAAGAAGCCTCTTGCTTTCTTTGCGTTGTTTCTGTCGTCGGCCCTGGATTGGCGGCAAGCCACATAATGAGAGATAGCGTGATAGCAAGCTCGAAACAAAAAAAAATCCTTCACTCAACGACGTGTGCGCTGCTGCGGTGAGTGCAATAAATGTGTGCAATTACTCTTAATTACTTATTCCGCCGGTGATGGCACCCTTGTGTTGGTGCGCGGTAAAATGTGTTAATATCGCTGAGCACTTCTTTGCTATGGGGGATGGTTTCTCACTGGTCAAGCTACTGATCCATGAAGCAATTAGCTTAGGACCTTCAGGGAGAGTCACAGCAAAAAGAAACCACTAAACTTCCTGCCTGTATTACAGCATTTTTGTAAATCTGCATGGCCCTAAATGCTTTATTAAATGTCAAACCTTCAATACTATGTACTTCTTCACAGTTCGACAAAAAAAAAACGTACTGTTAACTTCTGTTATGTCATGTATCTACATCATAAATTAACCCTCTCCTTCCCATAGCAGGGCTGGTAGTGCTGATGCGATATAATAGTAGTGACTTTAGTGACTAAAATTACGGAAATAGTGACCAAATAGTGACTTATAAATGCTAAATCAGTAACCATTTATATGGTAACTTAGAAATTCAAATACGGTTTGATATTGAAATAAACTATTTATGTCATGGAACTTAAAATCAAATTTCATTAATTCCTCTAATATAATCGAATCTCACAACGGAATCTCCTGTGAAGAGCATTTGAAGTGATTTGAATAATTTGCTTTTGCCTACGTTATACATGATGACTAGCAAATAGTAATTCTCACTTTTTTATGATCTTGAATTTGATTCTGCGTTCGAAATCTTTAAAATTTGGTTATATCTTGGTAGATAACTTTGATAATTCGCTGAGAACTTTTTACAGAATTTCTTCAGGATGATTTCAAGAACTTTTTTAGAATAATTCCCCTTGTCATAAGCTTTTACAAAAATAATATTGCATTCTTAAAAATTCTTCAGAACAATCAACGAAATCCTTGGAAATATATTATTTTCGTAGTTGGAAATACTTAACATCAAATATAAGGATTAAAGTGGACATTTTGTACGATACATGAGGAGATGAAAAAGTTAATAGTTCCGTAATAGTGTGAAATTTGTATACAGAAAGTAGAAAGCGAACAAAGGATAATTTTGAGGAAGGTACGAATTGGGTAGAGCATCTCCTTTTCCAAGCTCATCCGTTATTGATTGATGGTGAGGGGTGTTTCCCCCTGCCACCGGCAAAAGGAATGATCGCCAATTTGCTCATGTACCTCCGATGACGCAAACAACTACCTGATTCATACCTTCCTCAAAATTGTCCTTTGCTCGCTTTCTACTTTGTATACACAATGTTCACACTACCGTACTATAATGGAACTATCAACTCTATAATTTAATCTCCTCATCGATCGTATAACATCTCCACTTTAAGTCTGATATTTGAAGTTGAGCATCTCCGACTTAAGAATCGTTAAATTCACGCATGAAGTAATAGCACATGATTAGTTAAAGTAGATTATTTTCGATTTTTTTTTTTGATTCATCTAGGAACTTCCTGAAGGCTCCTTCCATAAATCCATTTTCAATTTATTTGAATTCTCCTTAGAATTTCCATGAAATTAACCTCAGAAATTTCTTAAATTTGCTGCTTAGAATAATCTTAGACTTCTTCCCTGCATTCAATTCAATTGGAAATTCAATTCGTATTCTCTTTAGAATTCCAATATTTAGTATTTCCTCAGAATTCTCAAAACAAAAATCCATAGCAGAACCCTCAAAATTCGATTCAATTGGAATTCGCCTAGGAATTTATTTCGAACTCTTTAGAATTCTCTTGGAAGTATCTTCAGAAATCAACCCAGTATTCTTTTCGAACCATCTTTGGAGTTCAAGGGATTTCCATGGAATTTTCATCAGAGCTCCTTATGCAAAATTTCAGAACCAATTTTGAAATCTTATTAGAATTGGACCTAGAATCCTCATCCAATCATCATTATTTCCAAAATTGTTTCGGAGCTGAATTTTGCGTCTCTAATAATTTTAACAATAATCAAAAGCGACTCTCGTATGTGTTAAGCCAAGTTTAACTATATAGGTAAACTTAGGCTTAAGTGGAAATAAAGAAATCGGTCCTCAGAGCACTTAATTTAACATGAAACTTTCGTAGTCTGTGCTTTGGTATTCTTCTCTGATATATCTTGGTGTCATCCCTAGAATCCTTTAAAATTCTCTTAAAATTAACTTTGGATTTTTTAAAGTTCTTAATCATCCTTGAAAGACTTTTGAAAATCCATCGCAGACAAATACCTTTGGAAAGTTTACAAGATTTACAATTCATTTTCTGGGAAAAAAAATGTATGTTTTCCCAGATTTTTACTCGAAATTGATGGCATTTCCTAATAGTTTTCTTGGTCTTTTAAAGTTTTGGTCATCCTGGTTTTTAACAGATGTTTTGTTAAAACTACTATAGACATTCTTAGTTACTCAATCTAAACATTTTGTTAATATTTTTAAATTTCTCTCTATTTTAGTAGTGAAAAGTGACTTTAGTGACTATTTTTAGGAAAAAGTGACTTTAGTGACTTTTTGGTGTAAAAAGTGATTTTTTAGTGACTGGCTTCAAAATAGTGACCAAGTCACTTAAAAGTGACCTGCTACCAGCCCTGCATAGTAGCACAGCCCAAGCAAAACACAAGTTCTTTAACAGTTTATATAGGGTGTCCCAGAAAGTATAAGCACAGTTTATTATTGGAATAAAACTAGGGGCATCCCACTCTAAACTTTAGTTCTAATAACAATAAAATATTTTTTAAATATCTCATAAGTAGCCTTAAGTATTTTTAAATATTGCCTTATTACCATCATAAAGACCGGTTGCTAGTGCAGTTGTTTGTTGCTGTACGAGTATGAAAAGGATAAGTCCTACATTAGTATAGGTTATCGCGGTCATTTCAATATATGTTCTCTATAGTATTCTCTTTCAATTGGATGAAAATAATCCGCAGCTCCTTTAATCGTATGTCATGGAGCGAACTTTTGATTTGACGCTGCCCATGAGCTTCAGCACAGATTCCTTGACGATAATATTGGCCAAAGGTGGCCAATGT